AAAAAAAAAAAAAAAAAAACCCAAACAACCAAATAGGTTAGAATAATAATGTAGAATGCCAACCATTTCCTCCTCAATTATAATTTCATGTTGAAGTTTTAGGATCTGGGTTCAGATTCAGAAATAATACTTTTCTTAAAAATCAAAATTAGTTCAGTCAACAAATACGTTTTGAGCCCATATATTGCACCAAGCGGTACACTGACACTGAGGCTACACCAGTAAAGAAACTAGACATTATTTCCTGCTCTGTAACCTACAGTTGGGAGTGTGTGACAGGCTTTAATCAATCAAATAATTAGCACATTCAAGTATGAAATTACAACTGCAGCAAGTACCCTGAAGGGGAAGTGCCCTAAACCACAAACTATACTAGTTCTGCTCACAGAATCTGCTACTTGTCCTAGAATAACCTGTGCTCCATTGTCCTCCTTTAGAAGCTGCAATGCTGCAATCTGAACTTATCAGATGGACACTTCTCCAAGTGCCCCCTTAGGGAGGGGCCAGTGATAGGAAAGGGGAAAGATGACTAGGAGATCCCCACTAGAGAAGGACAACCATCTAGGCAGAGGAATAACACTGCAAAGTGGCTGTAGTTAGGCGGGAGATGAATGTAAGGGGCAGATAAGCACTACACTTTTCAGAGGAAGAGTTATTACCTTTACTCATAAATGCAGCTGAAACCCTTGAAGACTGTTTCAGCGGGGAATATGTGCTATTGACTACAGTACAGTCCAAGTCAGGTGACGGTGCGTGGTGGAGAGCTGGCTTATTCTGAATTCCACCACTGACTCCTGAAATGCCTGGTCAATACTCCACACCACCTCGGATTTTGTAGAGACAGTTTAAAGAATAATGAGTCATAATTACTGAGTTCTTTGAACTCCTCGAGCAAAAGATGCTTCACTGACTATAAATGTAAAGTATTATTATCAGACAGAAAGCTGTCTCCAGCCAAAAGGGAATGAGCAAAGCGTTAAGTATGAAGATCTACACACTTCTGTAATATTGAACTTTATAATCTGAGTATAAATTAAATGGTTTTAAGGCTGAGTAAGCCCAGCCCTTTGATCTATAATGTCCACAGCACTATGCAAACATTGCATCATCTACTCTCAAAATGCCCTATGGGTGTGTACATCACAAATACAGCTATTACAGTTCTTTCTTTTTCTTTTTAAAGTTCACTACCAAATTTAGTATACCTGGTAAAAGGATATGTATATATGGTCCTGGTTTATTCCGATACTCATTTCTTTTTTTTTTTTTTTTTCCTTTGAGATGGGGGTCTTTCTTTTTCTTCTTTTGTCTTTTTGAGACAGGGTCTCACCATGCAGTTCACGCTGGCCTTGAGCTCACTTTGTAGCCTAGGCTGGTCTCAAAACTCAAAGAATCCTCCTGCCTCAGCCTCCGGAGTGCTGAGATTACAGGCATGAGCCCCGACCACCTGCTTAATTTCCTTTCTTTTCACGCAAACAGGAAACAAAACCAACTCTGACCAAACGCAAACTGTGAACTGGAAGATGAGGAAGAGGTTACATAAAACAGGCACTGCACTTTAATTCCTAAATAAACATTTTAATCTTTCGTATCCCTTTACATGAGCAAGTTTAGCGCTTTGTAGATTATTTTGGCATTAAAAAGAAAACACAGAAAAGGATCTAGAGATAGCAATAATGGTAAGACAGGAGGTAAAATAGAAACTGGGATGGGAAAGAGATTCATAGGCTCCCACCCCTCCCCTCCCCTCCCCTCCCCTCCCCTCCCCTTTCCATGGAAAGTATTACTGACCTTACCAGAACAACTTACATCAGAGGTGGAAGAAAAAAAACAATGGTACCCAGGGCTAAATCACTCCGGGGCCTATGCTTTAATTTCTTTTAGAATCAGAAGAAATTATATGATTCAGCCTAGGTTAAATTTGCTTTGTTATCAATATAGTCCTTATGGCTGGAGTGGTACTCCTCACTGGAACTGAGCCAATGCACGTACACCAGTGCCTTTGAACATCCACAATTATGAGCTGAATAAACCTTTTTTTCTTCATATTAGCCTGTGTCAGGCATTTTGTTATAGTGATGAAAAGCTGAGTAAGATAACACACACAAAAAATAGGAAAAACAGACTTAAACTGAAAAGTTGTTAACTTTAAACAAAAATTACCCAGAACGCAAGTCTGAATATCAAATACATGGAAAATATGAGAAAATAAGATGAATGAGAAGGTGCAGTGTATACCTAACTGACATCCTAAAGGATGAAAATAGAATGTAGGAAAAGAAAAATTCAAGCAGTTGAATATTAAGATTTTTCCACAATTTAGGGACAACCTAGACACTTTCTTAGACCAACAAAAGTTTACATTACAGAGATCCTTAAGCCACCCATCGTGGCTCAATGCCTGTGATTCCAACAGTGCGGAGGCGGAGAAAGGAGGATTGAGTTCAAGGACAGCCTGGACTGCACAGTGGTGTGGGGGTCCTTCAGTGAAGCAATATGTGTAAAGGACACACAGTGCTTCGTAAAGATGAAAATTCACAAGGTGGCTTGAGATACAAGATGAAATAGTGAACAAAGACACATAGGGAAATCTAACCCAACACTGAGTGCATTAAAAAATGACAATGTACAATTAATAAGGACAGAATAAATGGATACAAAATAAATTAGGAGAGGGACGTGATAGGACTTAAAATAGTCACAGGTTCAAAGCCGGCCTGGGGAACTCAGTAAGACTCCATCCCAAAAACATAAAGAGGGCTGGGGAATTAGCCCAACAGTCGAACTCTTGCCCAGCATGCACAAGGCTCACAGTTCCAAATCCAGCACAAGATAAAAAATAAAAAGGAAGGTCTTCAAGCAAAGTTCAAGGAGAACTGAGGGGCAGAACAGTCTGTTTTACAGAAAGATTACATGAAAGTTCACATCTAGCTGCTGAAGTCGCTGCCCTAGTCTTTCTCTAGCCATTTTTCTAGAACCCTGGATCACTCTGTATTTACACGGAGCGACTTTGCCCCTTCCCAACACTTCAAGTGGACACAACTCTCACCCAGAAGTACAGAAGTTTCAATGCACTTCTTTTTGTCCTTTCCTACTTTAACCCATCGAGCAGAAAACCATGAATTACCAGAAATGGGAGGAAAGTAATATGAAATGACAGACGCCAACACAAGAAGAAAGTGACTGGAAGAAACACATTACTCTTGGATATAAAAAGCCATCAAGCCAGCATGGCAGCGCATGTCTATAGCACCAGGGAGGCGAACATATGAGGCTTGCTGCACTTTTGAGACTGGCCTGAGGTATACTGTGAGATCATATCACAGAAAAACTAAACAAAGTAAAATAAAAATAAAAAGGTCATCAATTATCCTCAACTTTGGTCTGTACAAACTTATTTTGTGCATTCAATTTTGAATCTGCATGATTAGGAGTCTAAAAGAATTCTAAAGCCAGGTGTGGTAGCCTACACCTGTAATTCCAGCACTTGGGAGGCTGAAGCAGGAGGATGACCAGGAGTCGGGAATCAGCCTGGGCTACAAAGTGAGCTCAAGGCCAGCCTGAACTGCATAGCAAGACCCTGTCTCAAAAAGAAAAAAAAAAAAAAAAAAAAAAAATTGGGTCACTGGCTAAGGGTTGATTTATAAATATTATATACATGGCATAAAGTTAAAATTGTACATATCTCTAAATTCATTGCTTTGGGCTGGAGATGTAGCTTAGTGGCACAGCACCTGCCTGGCAAGCGCAAGGTTGTGAGTTCGAGACCTGGAACCAAAATATATATATTCATTGCTTAAGGGTAAATAGGTAGCTTATAGATGATACTAATCCATTAATCCATGGAACCAATTTCACTAGTAATATAATTATAGTAAGAAACCTTGATTTATTAAGAATAGCATTATCATTTTCCAAATATAAAAATCATCAGTGTCATGTGTGGTAGTTTATGTCATATGCCTTCATATTCTGGGCTGGGATGATAGGTGATAAATGTGTGTGTGTGTGTGTGTGTGTGTGTGTGTGTGTGTGCGTGTGTGGTGCTAGGGATTGAACCTGGGGCCATGGTACTAAGCTGTATCCTCAGCCCTTTTTAATTTTTTATTTCGAGAGAAAGATCTTGCTCAATTGCTCAATTGCCCAATCTGGGCCTGAATTTGCAATTCTCCCTGTATCAGCTTCCCACAGTGCTGGGAAGCATGCCCCACCACATCTGGCTAATTCTTAGGTATAAATCAACCTTTGAACTGAGTTTAGTGGCTCACGCCTATGGTCCCAGCACTCAGCACTCAGGAGGATGAGGCAAGAGGATTGACAGAAGAATTAGAAGTCAACCTGGGCTGCATAGTGAGACCCTGTCTCAGAAAACAAAACAAACCAAAAAAATTAACCTTTGAATCTTTGAATGTGATCGGAGAATCTGAACCATCTGTGGATGTGTTGACAGATCCATTACTGTTGATAAATTTGTGTAAGAATGAAGGTTTTATTAATTGCAGATACTGGTATTTCTGTCTAATTACTATCTTTTTAATGGAATGGGGACCACCTTTCTGCTTATTTAAAGGCTACACAGTGCAGACTGGTTATTTTGCTAAGACAGGGCAATTCAGTTAATAACTGTCTTCTACATTTGCTGGTGTAGTTCGATCACACAAAACAAGGAATAATTTTTATGTTTCTGAATTAATGAGCTCATCTCATTACAGGTTCCAGGAGGCATAATTTCCAGGCTGACAACAGCCACAAAAATTGTTTAAGGTGTCATTTATATGTTTTGCCTAACTGTATAATTTTAGCCACTCTGAAATATTAGTCACAAAGTCTAATGATGACCTAATATAACTTTTTAAAGAACAATCATTCCCTAAATTAGATAAACTGTTCCTTTTATGACTACTTCTATCTTAGAATGACATATTTTTTAAAATTTGCATTCAGAGCCTGGCATGGTGGCAAATGCCTATAATCTCAGCTTTCGGGAGGCTGAGGCAGGAGGATCAAAAGTTCAAGCCCAGCCACAGCAATTTAACAACTTAGACAGAATGTAAAAGGTGAAGGGGCTGCAGATGTAGCTCAGCGTAGTTTCCTACAAGTATTCAGAGTAAGAGAAGTCATTAATAGACACACAATGCGTACCACAGGAGGCAAAATGTGAGGATTATTTAAAAAGTGCCAAAAATGAGTAAAAATGAAAACTGTTTTGGATAATTTGTTAGGTTTAACTTTAAGGGGCTAAAATGTCTCCTGAAAGAGTGTTTTTGTTGTTTTGAGTCAAGGTCTCCCTATGTAGTTCAGGCTGAGCTTGAACTTACTACATAACCAAAGCAGGCCAAGAATTCTGGACAATCCTCCTGTCTCAGCCTCCCAGGTGCTGCCATCACAGGTGTGCACCACCACACTGGGTAGGGTGGTTTTGATTCCTATGGGAAGAGACCCTAAGGTAGCAAATAACAAATGTGTGCCACTCCAAAGCCATTAATACTGAGAAGAGTTCTCATAAAACTGTGAAATGGGTACAAATAACTTCAGTACTTATTTTTCTACTTTATAAAGTATAATGTAGCAAATAAAAATTTAACTTTCAAATACTATTGTTATTTTGTCTTTTCAAGGCTGGGCCTCACTATGCAGTTCAGGCTGGCCTTAAGCTCACTTCTTATCCCAGGCTGGTCTCAAATTTGCAAAGATCCTCCGGCCTCAGCATCCTGAGTGAGGGGATTATAGGCATGTGACATCATGCTCAGCTCAAAATTTCAAATATTATATATCCAATAGAATTCCTGTGTTTTTCAAAAAGCAGCCACTGGTATCTATACATGGACCCCCTTAAATACACCAACATTCTACTCATACCAAGTTAGATTACAGTAATGGTGTGAGGCTCAGACACTGGTACCAATCTTTAAGAAGTTCTCCAAGTGATTTTAATGTCTAGCCAGGTTTGCAGCATGCTAGGCTGGACTGCTGTTAGGTAATTTTTATCTTCCTAATAGTGAATTTATTCTCTCTGCCCTTTCTCCTTTCTGGTTCAATAAATATTGATTTTCCAATATTATTTTCGTAACGTTGGCAACTTGCCAATGTTATTTATTTATGTATGTATGTATGTATGTATGTATGTCTGAGGCAGGGTCTCACTATGCTGTTCAGGCTGGCCTTGAGCTCACTTTGTAGCCCAGGCTGGTCTGGAACTTGCAAAGATCCTCCTGCTTCAGCCTCCCGAGTGCTGAGCGTACAGGCATGCACCACCACGCCCGGCGCCAATGTTTTTACGAACCCCACTCACTACGTGCCAGCCAGGATGCCAAGCTTTTTAAGTGCATCTTTCTCGTCTCATTTTCCTATCAACTCCTGAAGAAGGTGCCGCTTCCAAACAACCTGCCCACAACGAAGCTCTTGCTCACTTGGCCACACTGATTTTTTTCTGAGTCCCGATAGCGAACTGTTGTGCAACTGCAGTCTCTCGGCGGTGGTAAACGTTATCTGGCAAGACCAGCTAGGAACAAGCAAATGGCACAGGAAAGGTGTGGCGGTCACCCGAGGCACAAGCCACAGCGGGGGGCGGAGCAGACCTCGAGACCCGGGAGTCCTCGGACCCCGGCTCCCAAAGCCCACGGCCCGCCCCGGGAGTACCCCCGGCCTGCGTTGCAGATCCCTGGTCCTCCCCGGCCAGTGTGAGGGACAGCGTAGCCTATGAAGGAAGGCGCACACACTCGACTGCCGCGACACTGCGGACGGCGGG